GACTCATCCTACCAAAAGCCTAGTGACTAGGATGGGAAGAGCCTTTGTTCTTTGACAGGCTTTGAAGCCTGGTCCTCGGTACAAATCTCACATTACAACCACTCCCACACATTCTGCGTCAAAAGGCTCTCTCGCCTGTCACACCTGACCTATTCCCATACACTCCAGCCTGATGCTACAATCACAGCTCCTGCTAAAGAGAAACCCTCTACGCAGGTCCCTCATGTATGCTGTAAAGAAAAAAAATCAAAAATCAGATAAGTTAAACAAACTGGGTTCTCAATGGGTGGACCAGAGGGGAGACCACTGCATCACAAAACCTCTAACTGAATTCACTCATGATTATACAGTACCAACACCATTTGCCCACACAAGCCAAAATGCCCTTTCCAAAGTAGTAAAGCTTGCAGGAAAAGAGGTGCTCTGAAAGGCGAAATGAGGAGCTCAAGCAGCACCCACTCCACCCCTTTTACATTAACAGTCAAGATTATATATCTTCTGCCTAGTCTGAGACCAAAGACTTTGTGCACGTATTAAACTACAGGCACAAACAATAATTTTTTTGGATAAATATCTCATCTTGAGCTAAGAATTCCTTTCTGCCTTCCAAAGTTAAAAACATCTTTTTAAGGGGCAAGGAAACAACATCTAAAATCTGAGCTGCTAACTTGGTTCTTTAATACAGCCAGACCATTGGAACCAGTATCTGAAGAGTCTGGAGCCACCTGAACTGCTGCTAAAATGGACAAACTTATCCTGTATCAGTTACAGCCTACCCAAGAGGAAGTCACTTGGGTATGGAGCACAGAGGTGGCTTTGGGGAATGTGAGTAAAATAGGTGTTAAAGCTCAAGAAAACTACACTAATGCCTGAAACAATTTTCATGACTTACTGTTACAAGTTACTTTTAACAACTTAAAAATTGGAGGGCATTCTCTGCTTCAAAACTTGCAGCATTCAACAGTTATCTGTCTATTCATTCTCCTGGTTCGTGTAGGTCTCTTGCACAAAAGGGAGATACATAATTCTGAAATACAGGAAAGCCTGCAGACTGTGGGGTAAGTGCAACACCCAAAACTATTCGCTTTTTTTTTTCCTTTTAAATGAACTAGATCTCAAATGATAGCAGCCCTTTTCTGTGATCAGGGTCATCATGCCCAGAAGCAGAAGAGGAAAAAAGGATGGCATAACTGTGCCTTGAACAGATGCTCTTTGGGCAGACGCAATGCAGACAACACTGCTTGCATTATAAGCCTCTTTCGCTACTGCTGAGAGCTGATGGGAAGGGCAGGTGAATTCGTGGTGGCAGGGATGTGCTGAACACCCCAACTTTTTCCAAGCTTTCATTATGTGAAGGAAGTTCAGATAAGCAGGTCAACAATCCTGCTATTAGGGGCTTAAAAAAAAAAATGTCCCTTTGCAGCTTTACAGAGCCATGCCATGGGCAAGATTCCTCTGGTGCTGTGCTAACACTATTTCTCCAGCAACCTCTATCATCTCTATTCAAACAACATGGTTACTAAGCAGGTGGAAGACCAAGCCATTCTATCTTTCACATAAGGTTGTTCTTTATCCACCTTGGCCTTCTATAGCTTTGTCCTCAACAAAGCAATATCCTACATGGTATGCTGTCCACTCTCCAAAATTGCAAAGTTTAGTGTTTCAGCAGAATACTTTTATTGGAGTTTTGCCATACTCACAACTGATGCACATTTGGTGGAAAGCTACCCCAATACAGGCCAATATAAAGCAGCAAAGCCCTACGATTACCAAGAGCAATACATCCAGGAGTAGTTCATCTTGAGAAATACTAGAAAGGTGACAAATCCTTCATATCTCCAGAAGGAGGTACAATTATGGCACACCCCCAGCTTCAACAACGTGAACAGCGAGGTCTTCAACTAGAAAATTAGGGCTATATATATATATATATATAAAAGGAACAAGCTTCATTTTCTAAAAGTATAATGGGGCGTATTTGTAGACAACTACTCCTTATGCGTTTGCAGCATCTCTTTGCCTGTGCTGCTGGGCAAAATGTAAATAAATGGATGCCTAACAGAAAACCCACACACCTAACTGGAAAGGGAGTGAAAGAGGACTTAAAAAAAATAGAGGTTTCTTCCCATGCCCAGTATTTTTAATGTCTCAATTCACTGCACATTCAAATGCATGCTTTCGTTGCCACTAACCGTCTTAGTCTGGTGCAGAAAGCTATGCCACAAATAGGAAAAAAAAAAAAAATCTGAAAGTGAAATCTTTTGCGGTTGAGTACACTGTGGCAAGAAACACTTCCTCGTGCTTTTACCACAGTAACCAACAGAGAAGGGGGGGCAGCAGAAAAGAAAGCAAGAGATGCCTCAGAACACTCTGATAAAGAAACGGTAAAACAAACCTGAGTGCCAGGTTGCACATACATTTTAGCAGTTATGAGGAACCCAATGCAGGATGTGATTCCTCTTGTCCTTAAAAAAGGGCTTCTTGCTTTTCTCCAGTCCCTCAACAAAATGCCCACGCTGTTATGGACATTGAGAATACTAGTGAGCCTAGACTCCTCTCTGTGTAAGAACACAACAACCTTCTTTATATGACAATGTTGAAATAAAGGAATCATCCGAATTCACCATTCCTTCAGTCAACATGTGAAAGTCCCACTGCTTACAGTAAATATTGCTGATGAAGCTAAGTATACAAAACCCCATGCTTAACTTCATAGCATTCCAGGACCAGAGTAATTTTGCACAAATTTCATTTTCTTTAATGAACAAGACTGATGTATGCCCAACATGAGCAGGCAATAATTGTAGCCCTGAAATCATATTACTGGTTAAAACAGATCCATAAACTAACGTTTCTTGTCCTTCACACAGCATTTCTGGTTCAGACCTCCATACAGACCACCTGTATCATACTGGACAGTGGAAACAGGTGGGATAAATTCCCTCTCTGCTTAAATAAAACTTCTTATTACGCACTTTCCTTACGACTATGTTCTGTCCCCCTCAGAACTCTGAATATGTTAGGAGGAATCCATGCCTGCAACATGATATTCTCCATTTATGCTGTGCTTCACACATCAAAGGATCCCACGTGTTTCTACAAACCACAAACAAGAGATTGGCTTCACCCACCATTGGACCCACCTCCCTGACACGGCTGCTGTTTAAGTCTACACACTACTACCCAACAGCTTAGGCCAGGATGTGAAAAGTGCCAAGAAAAATCAAGGGGGCAGAGTGCGATTACCAGGACTAATGCTAGGCAGTTTGATTAAGGAAGAAGGTGAATTGATTTTAAAACTGGTCAGAGCCACAGCATACACTAGTCTCCAAGCAGCATGTTTTTAGTAAACCAGTTTTAAAACCAGTTCAGTAACAATGGTTCAGCCTGTTCGGTAGTGAAGCTTGATCTATACTATGGCTCCAACTAGTTTTAACATTCCTTCGACTGAACTATTTAATGATGATTAAAGTCTGAGGGAGGGAAATTCACCAGCACAGAATGGATCTGAAGGAAACGGACATGGGACATTCAGGGATCATAGGTGATCAGGACCTTTATTTTACATTTCATCTGAAGGACCACAGCATCTCCATCACTGCAGCATCTCAAAACCAGTGCTCCAGTAAGGTGCAACAGCAGTTAGGAGGAGAGCACACACTGAATCATCACCACCGCATAGCGACCCAGAGTACTCCTTGGTATCTTCAGTCAAAGTCCTGACTGCATGCAACCTTGCTTAAAATTACAAAAGGGAATACAAGCACCCCTGCATGTGAAGCACAAACACACCAACCCGAATACTTGAATCAAACCTTAAAACCTGCCAGGTTGGGACAGATCCTAAACAAACAGACACTCTTTTATGGGACCTGATTCTTATTCAAGGTGGCAAAAGCCACGGATACATGGCAGCATGCATAAAACAGCAGTTGTATGTTATAATGCTTGTGAAAACCTTAATTTCAAACTTCTGGGTGACCAGGAGCCCAGCCCCAGAGTCACTCTTGACACTCAAGCTTGTGATCTGCCCATCTCTTTTCGATCCACATTTTGCAGCTCCCTGTTCACATACGTCCAACACACCTCCCGTGACTCCCAACACTGTCGTACCTGAATAATTACACCCTTATCCCAAAGCAGGGGATCTTTCAGACGTCTGGACCATTCTCTCTTCCTCACAAAGGCCTGGCACACCTTATTTCTCCCTGTCTTTAAGTTCACTTCACCTCATCTTTTATACCTGCCAGACCTCCCATTTGTAGACTGGCTTAAACGGTTACTTACATCTATAAAGCTATGAAAGATCCTCCTTGAACAAGTCTCTGTTCAATGTGGGCATAGAACAAGGAGCAATGGTCTCCAGTTGCAGCAAGGGGGGTTTGGGTTGGATAGTAGGAGAAACTCTCTCACTAGGAAGGTGGGGAAGCACTGGAGCAGGCTCCTCGGACAGGTGGTGGCATCTCTATCCTTGGAGGTTTTTAAGACCTTGGCTAGGATGATGTAGTTGGGGCTGGTCCTGTTTTGAGCAGGGGGTTGGACTCGATGTGGCCTCCTGAGGTCCCTTCAACCCTCATTTTCTAAGTCACTAATGGGTCCATACAGGCCAGACACGGTGCAGAGGCCTCCCTCATGCAGAGACACTCATTCCTG